TGTGTTTAGTTCCTTGTTACTCTCACATTTGTGTGTTACTTTAAAGACCGGCAAATTTTCAGCGATGATTGTCTTCGCTAATACCTGAAGTCGCATCAATGGTATATCTTCGAAGCTTTCTCAACGACTCTTGGTACCTATTTCCTTCTTGCTTTCCATAATTTAGGACCAACACAATTTATTAATTCCTACTGTTAAGAAAGAACGTTGCTCCCAACCTTAATTAAATGCGTTGAGGTGATTTGTCATTCGGAAGGAAGTTCTCGTTTTTGTGAAGAACATTCTTCTCTCGATAATTTAGACGGACATGCCATTCTCTGCAACTTTTAGTTGACCTTGAATTATTCTTCTGAACTAAATATTAACATATGAGGTTAATTAAATGGAATATCTCGGTCGATATTTATTTTACATGATAGGGCTGGGGAGGGGGGGGGGGGCTACACGATTCTAGTGTTTTGCCCCCAGGGCAAGTGGTGTTTTAAACCCCTATAGGGGCGTGGGAATATCAGTATATCGCTCTGCAGATGAGATTTATTCTTCTTCCTAACCTTACAACTGTGTGTGACTTTGCTAAACGTACTTGAATTGGTTAGTGACGAAAAAAACGTGACCACGAAAAAGATCATTTAGCAGCAAACTTGCAGTCTGCAACTCTTCACTTACAATCTTTCATGCCAAGGTTTGGTTGAGTTAAATGAACCTAAGCATTGTTTCCTTTATCAGCAATGGGCAATCTATTCGTTATTTTCCAAGGTTCAAATTGAAGCCATTAAGTTAAGTCCCTCCACCAAGTCTATTAGTGATCATATCCGGCCATCACAGTTATTAAGAGTTTCTTTACTAGTAGAACATGACCTTTGCTTTCTTTTTTCTTGAACGTTCTCAGCTCGAATGCCCTTTAGCTTTGGGAGTTATGCTTTTAGAGGTTGGAAGTAACGCTTTTTTTCACTGAATTAGCCACACCAGAGAAATAATTCGCCATTTTTAACTTTAATTTCAAATAATTTTAATTAGGTTCTCTTAAGCATTGGGAATATCACATAGAAATCGTACATTCTATCACACGGATTTTTGGGTTTAGTGTGGAAGGACTTTTTTCCTGAGAGGCAAATAGTTTGAAATTATTCATGAGCAACACATGTTAAGGGTAAAAGCGTTCAACCCCAAAGCAGACGGAGTGAACTTTCGACGTTACGTGTTGTTTATTTTCATCAGGGTTTGGACTTCTGTAAGCCATTACCGAAGGCTAAGTTCATGTGCTCACTTTCCACTGATGCTAATTTTTGTATTTTAAGTTTGAGACCAGACAGTAGGAAATATAATGATGCATCACAGTGAGGATGACCTATAAATTTTAGTTTAGCCATCCTTTGCTGGATGGTGAATCAGTACCTGTTGATGCATATCTTCTGATGAGACGCTTTCCATATTGCTAGATAACTCATATCTTATTTACGAATTTGCGATCGCAATCTCATTTACTTATCTTTGAACGCAGACCACAGCAAAGTTGCTATCGTCAATGCCACACTAGATTACTTATATTAACTCCTTCAAACTCGATGATTGATAGAATGACGGGGTCCAGTTTTTTTCACCTTCATGGCTATTTGTTTATGTGTAACGCACGAATAATTGGAAGCATTGTTCAGCCGGGGGTGAACGATGGTTTTGCTAACAGGTAGTCTTAGATTTTACACCTGTCAAGCACCTACCAATGTCGACGAAACAGCTGTTTTTAAATTTGTATTTGATATTTCTCCCTCAGTGTACTTAAGGAGATCAATTTGATTAAGTGGTTTCTAGTTGTTGTTGTTTCTGTTTGCTCTTTATTATTCGCTAGACACGATTTGAATTCATAATAAAATGTAAGTGAAGTTTATAGGTGTGAGTTAATCTTGTATATGCACTTTTTATTCCAATGCGAAACCTTAAATTCGATTAAAAATATTCTCCCTTGGGCTTTTGAACTTCTTAGTATGCTATTGCGGCCGTCAAGACGAAGTGGTACGTTGTGGCAGCGCCAAAGCCAAACGCTACAATCTCTCCGAACTCCAAGCTCCTTACGACGGTGACTTGGAGCTCTGTGACGTGGAAATGTTCTTTGAAGGGACTGCTGAAGAGAAGGCGACCCTATTGTCAGCTCCAGACGGATCTTTAACAGCGCTCTTTGTAGGCACTGTGTTCAGTTGCGAGCAGAGATGTGATAGACCACTGGATTGTGAGCACCACTTCTGTACAGATGTTTGTCATCCCGGCGAGTGCAAATCGTGTCCACTTCTGCCGCAGAATTGTGTAACGTGTCCTTGTGGGAGAGTACCTCTTTCGAAATTGGTACGTTCTCTATTGTGTAAGGTGCCTATATATACATATATATATATCATGGGGGGTTTGATCATGCTTCAGTGTCTTCGGTACCTTGGTATTGGCGCGTGCAAGGTTAGAGCGTCCTGCTGCTTTTACTGAGCTACTAATCTTGAATCCTGGGATGGCTAAAAGCTATCACGAGGCAAATATTTGTCAACGTTTGAGTAATATATGTATATCGCTTTATTTTTGTCCCGCCACAAATTGAATTGTTAATCATGGGGAAGAGAGTTGTTAAGGTTGTGATCACGGCACACTTGAGTACGCCTGCAGTTCAGTTAGCCAGACGAAATTAAGCAAAATAGACAATGTCCATTTGGTTCTAGACGGGTGTGTGTAGTTATTAAGGCAGGGTAGCCGCTTCATCTCTTCCTTTGTGATCTCTATGCTTCCTTGCCCTCATTTCTACCCTCTTACGTACGCCACACCCCCTCACCTATATACTCGCTTGGCCTAGAAGTTACGCCTTGTCAATGATCAATTTTAATCACGTTTTCTAAAATAGGCTTATCATTTCTGTATTGAGTCAACAAAAATTTTCACTTTACCAGCTCACTATTGGTACTCAGATATTTGCATTTCGTTGGCTGACTTGATTTAAATTGTCGATTAAAAGTTGATGAGAATAATTTGTTTCCAAATTGAGACAGTTTCTGAGGTGTTGTCCACTTTTCCTAGATTCACTCAATTGCTCCCATTTCACGAAAGTTCTCATCGAAATATCCCAGCTTTGCTGTGGCAATGCTTTTTTAGCTACTTCTGTTATGCTAGAAGAGCAAGTTAATGAGCTCCACGTAAGATCATTTTACGTTCTCTACTAACAGAGAAAAAAATTGATTGAAATTGCGTGGGAATGTCCTTCCTTCATTTAAATAAACACGGATAAATAAGATGAGGACGTTTTCAGCGATCGTTTGCTCCAATTTAAGGTGTAAAGTTTCCATGCCAATTAAAAATTAATTCAAAATTTGGTCTTTGAATTAGGGTTGTGTATCTTTATTCCTTGCCTACAGTATGCTTTTCTAAATTCTTTTGTCCCTTTGCACACATATCTCCGGAGTGGTTCTCTGTTTCTTGAATAAATTTGTGTCCGTAGAGTCCAGAGCTTTATGACCAATCGATAAGAATTCAATTTTTTTCGGCAAATTATATCTTATAACTTTATATCTAATAGCTATTAGTCCATTAAATTGATTGTGTTTCGTAAAAAATGATTTTATACTAATAACTAGTGATGCTTAAACAATGGCGCGAGTCTCGTTAACTCCAAATATTTTGTTGTGGTGTTGTGCAATAGGCGCGTGAAATAGGGAGTAGCCATACAACCGCCTCCTATTTTTTTAAGCAATTTGTGTGGGCATTTTCGACATTCAAGGTTGTCTACCAAAATTATGGAAATAACATTTTTCTATGAACGCGCGACCTGCAGAACTAGAGGCACCAAATTCGGCCACGAATGCCAAAATGTTGAATGGGTAATTATGAAGCTCCTCCACAGGGCTCCCTCCCTTCCTCTCCTCCTCTCTATCCTCAATGTATTAAAATTTGATTGTCATTCTTCCAACACCCCCCCCCCCACTCCTCCTATTGTCCAATTTTTATGCCTTGCAGAATGTAGTGTGAAATTGATGAGAATGATTTAATTATCTCCTTTGTTTGGGATTGTAGTAGTTTAATACTGTTGGAACGATAATGTGTACTGTTCTTTTTATACGATGGCCAAGTGAATTGTCTACGTCAATACGTAATTGTGGTTTTTATAATCTGGTTGGCATGTTCAGAATTGTCATTCATTTGTTACTTTGAATGCATTTCCTATTCAAAGAGGCCAATATAAATCAGTGCCATTGGTGATTGAATCTTGCGCATTTTTAACAACGAAAACATTGATAAAAATTTGGTCTTTTTGCCATATTTTATTTTAACTCTAAATCGCATAAAATTGATCTTCTTATGCCTCTTCGAGAATTTTGTTTTATTACCTGCACCACCAGATTCAAGCCTGTGCTCAACAAAGTGGAGAAATATTTTCTTGAACTTGTATTTCAAAACTAAACACCAAACTTTTAAGATTTTTTAGAGATCTTGGCTATCACTCTTCTCAGCTAGCTAAAATTACTCAGATTTGTATATTTTGTGGTTACGATCTGTTCATGAAAGGATTTATCAATTATGCTCTTTTTATAACTGGAGCATAAAATCAAGGTATCAAAAGCCTTCATTTGATTGCCAATCATGAGTCGTCCACATTCCAAAATTTCAAATTAAAGAATCGCCGACTGAATTGCCATTTTCGCTCTTGTCTTCTACTGTGGTTGATCTAATTCTCACCATTTCAAATTGCTTTTACTCTTGAGGTTGACTGCGGCTTATATGTTCTTAATTTTTTCCCGGGTTTGTATCTTAAAAATGCACCATTTTAAGGTTATTTAGACGACAATAAATAAATTATAGAATCACTGTTTAGTGCTTAGCAGTAGTCTACGCCTTTACTCGTTACTGGGAATGGTGTGAAGTAGTTTTTTTAAAAAAAATCCTTTCTAGGTTATGAATGGTGATATTCACGGCAATCGTCAGTCATGCACTGACCCCATCCCCGTTTGCCCCAACACCTGTGATCGTCCGAACCCCATTTGTGGTCACCCCTGTCCCGAGAAGTGCCACCAAGGTCCTGAGTGCCCACCCTGCAAACTCACCACCCAAATCAACTGCCGTTGTGGAAAGTCCTCCAAAGAGATTCCCTGCTATCAATATGCTCTGGCTGTCAAGAATGATCCTTGTGAGTTGCCCGCTTCATTGTCCCATTTCCTCCCGGCCATGTAATGGTGGCGTGTAGCAATTATCTACTGTAGCAGTCCGTGTGACCTTTCGGGTTGAAACATACCAGAAATATTAGTAGGAGTGGTTAATCACCACTTATTGGTATTCCTATCCTTGAACATTTTTCGCTATTCTTGCTTTATGCAATTTTTAAAATAGCCCAAGAAAACGAGGATGAGAGGGAGAGAGAGAGAGAGATAGAAAGTGAAATAATCAAAGAAGGCTCTCCTTACCTTGAATTCTAGATTTATCAAGTTGTCTACATCCTTCTACTTCCAAACAACTACAGCTGATATTTTTAATTACGCATATAGGATATGAATATATTAATACACGCTTGTTTGTTTCAGCCTCGATCCAATTCCTGTGCAATAGAGTTTGCGCAAAGAAAAAGACTTGCGGGCGTCATAAGTGCAATCGGAAATGTTGCGATGTAAGTTCAAATTCGTGCAAATTGTCCTCGTTAGAGGTGAACTACTTTTTAAACAATTAAGCCGAGAGCCTCTAAGTGTGTGGTTCACGAGAGTATGAAAGAATTGCGTGCTGCGCATATCTCTTTAGAGCGATTAATCATTTTTCACTGCTATCATCTGCGTGTTTTCTAGTATCGTGATTTCCTTACCTGCACATACTGTAGATTTGGTAGACGAGAGTAGATGAGATTGCATTGCAACTGGCAAAGTCCAAGTATTTTTCTTTGTTAATGGTGCTATAAAGAGGCCGTGGATTGCCTCCAATCCTAGGGAGTAGAGGGTGGGGTGGGGGGGGGGGGTGGGGGGGGGGGGGGGGGAATTTTAATCACTTCCTGGCATTGATTACACTGTTTTTCAACACCCCGCTATGGCTAATTGGTTCAAAATTTAGGTAGATAAATTGAGAAAAAAAATTAAACAGAGTTCAGCTAAAGGTCTTGGGACCTAACATCTGAATATAGATTTGAATGTAATTGTTATTCGTTGTCACAAGTACAAGGCGATGCAGGCAGTAAATAATAACGGTGGGAATGTGACGTTAGTTTAAAGTCATCCAATTTGCAGGTTCCAGTCGCATCTCTCATGATCTGATGCTCAAATTGGGGAGGTTACAAGTTTCGATAGCAGCTTACCTTGACGCAGGTATCCAATCCGGTGAATCCATGTTGGTGGATATTGATTGCGCCTGACTTAGCTTTGTGTGCTAACGCCTACATCTTAGGTGCAAACAGCAAGCGAACCATGCGATGCTCCTGTTACTTCTCCCTATTTGGCCACTTCTATCTAATCTGCAAATTATTGTACGTGAAGTTGGATTAGAATGCCTATTGCGCAGTGAAACATATTAATATTACAAAACATTTTTCTCGAAATCTTTATTGCAACCTCATCGGCGCGGTCATATAAGCAACTATTGAGTAGATATTTTTTCAATATCTACACATACAGTCTATAAAATGGAAGTCTTTGCATTTCGGTGCGCTGATGGAATTTGCGCAGGGAAACTATTCATGGTCTCAACCTGTTCATTTTCCCTCTAGATGGTGATACATTCCTGCCAAGAGATCTGTGGTCGAACTCTATCCTGTGGGAAGCACACTTGTGAGGACCGATGCCATTGTGGTCCTTGTGGATCCTGTTGGCGTGGTGTAATCTACGAGGAAATCTACTGTCACTGTGGATACACCTGCCTGAATCCACCACAACCTTGTGGAACCAAACCTCCTGATTGCGATAGACCCTGCACTCGACAGCACGCTTGCACGCACGAGGTTCGACACAACTGTCACTCCGATCCTGAGTGTCCAAAGTGTACGGAACTGACAGTGAAACGATGCATTGGAGGTGAGGCATTCATTATGTTTTTTTATCGTTATATTCCATTTTATCCTACTGAACAGACTTCACAGTTTCTGTAATTGTAAGAGAGCAGCTGAAACCAATGCAGCTGTGAAAATATGTTGTCAGTAACGCCAAGGTGTCAAACAGTCCTGTCTAGTTCGACTTTTGAATTGGAGTTTTGAATTATTCTCCTTTAAATTCCGTGATTCTAGTCCAAAATACGTCTTTGGGCAAGGTTAAGAAATGCCCCTGATAAATCGTGTGCTATTAAGCAGTAGATATTATTTTAACTCCACACAATTGAGATAGCTGTATTTGTGATGATTTTTCTGTTTTATCCGTAGCAAAGGTAAGATGTGTGATGGTACACAGAAAATGGAGACCTTCTTTCTGCCCGATTAAGTCATCAGTCGGTACCTCAATTTAATTTAAGGCTGAATTTTTCGCTTTTATTCGTAAATAGCCCTAAATAAGACATCTACAAACTTCCTGGATAACGTAGACATCTTGAAATCTGTCTTTTTGCGCAATTTACATTACACCAATACCTCAGCTGATAATATTTGCTGATGCGGTCGATCTTGATTCTGGAGATGATTTGCAACACTCCTGAATAGTAAAATGGCACGATGCAGTCTTTCGTCGTGAAACCTGCGTTCAGCCAATCACCGATCAGCTTTCATAAGCAATTTTGTTTATAATAGTCTTTCCTCCCCATTTGAAGATCATACGTGGATGTACAACGTGCCCTGTTTCATTACTGTAATTACATGTGGCAACATCTGCGACAAACCGATTACTGGTTGTTCACACCGTTGTCAACGCCAATGCCACGCTGGTAGCTGTCTTTCTGATACCCAAAAGTGTACTCAACCCTGCTCTAAACCCCGACCAAGCTGTGGCCACCCCTGCGGTCAACCTTGCCATGAGGTCAAGGGTATTACCTGCGAGGTAGCCTATCGAAATTCAAAGTGCCAAGTTCTCATCGCGCTCCAATGCTCCTGTGGTTTTCGTAAGGAAGAACAACGCTGTTGTCAAGTGAAGGGTCTCGTTGGAAGTTTGAGTCAGAAAGATCCCAACTTCCTTCTTCGTCCACCCACTATTCCAGGTCTTCCATTTGGGCTCCCCACAAATGAAATCCTTCCATGCGATAACTCCTGTGCAATGGCTAAGAGGTTGGCAGAGGGCAAAAGCAAAGGGGAAGCAGAGGAGACAGGCCCTAAAATGTGGCCTCGCGGAGGTCATGCTATTGATGAGATGCAGCTGTCTGCATTCCCCCCACCTGAATATCCCGATAATCTCAAGCAATACGCTTCAAATAACAGCACATTTGCCAATACCGTGGAAGAAGTGTTCTGCGATATTGTGCAGGAGGTGAATTCCATTCTTACTTCCCTTTCTCCAATTTGCAAAAACTCATTCTTACCTAATTTCATTTTAAAGGCCTTAGACTCCCTGAAGCCTAACGAACGTGGTATAATTGTGCCTGGGAAAGTGATAACGCACAACTTTAACCCAATGCAAAAGGATAAACGTTGGTTTATCAAGGAACTAGCCGAGTTTTACGGCATTCAGTGTGTTGAAATGGACCCGAAGCCAAATACCTTTGTGCAAGCGATGGCCAAATCCGGTTGGGCAAAGTTTCCGGGAGGGACTTCGAAGCACAATTGTGTCACTTTGTCGAAGCAAATTGAAGCTTCCTTTGTGGGTACAGTTAAGCTGAATCCTAATGTACAGAAACCGGTGCACGCTTCGCAAAAACCAGCTTCTCTACGCTGCGATAACACGAGCACCTCTTCAACCTCGACACGCCGTCTTTTAGCCTTCAACGCAATCGCATCTGAAGCTTCAAAAACAAATTAGGATCAAAGTACTTTTTCTTGTTCTCAGAAGTTTGTTCTTGTGTCTTTCAATTCTTCTCAAAATGCACAAGCAGATGGAGTAAAACTCTATTTCCAAGAAATTTTTAAAATTTGTGTTTTGTTTTTTTCGGAGCAGTTAATGTTATTGGTGGTAATAGGTAATTAGTGGAATACAGATGATCACATATGATCATTACTACTATTGAGGTGAACTCGTTCACAAGTGATGATGTAATCTCTGTTGGTTGGGTCTTTCTTGGTGGGATTATAGTGCTAACTTTTATGAAGCCTATCCCTTCCTTACAGTTATTACTGTCTGAAAAATCGCTTATCGATTTTCTGCTTCCTTCTGTTAAAGTCCTGTGCTTCTTTCTAACCCCCCCCCCTCCCCACGACTCGCTATTGGGTCTCGAATCACTTCCTTTTTCAACCTGCTTTGCGAGAGGCTTAGCTTAATATGCCTAGTACCACTGCTAGTCTGCTGCTGTTGCTGCTGCTTATACATCAGATTACCTCTTTCTTTTCGAAATAAGTATTTGTTCACACCATGCCTTTGCACTATTGTAAAGAAGCTATAATAAAACCTGGGGGGGGGGGGCAACAATTAAGGTACACTTCCGCGCTTATGTGAATGGAATTCATGTAGATTATGGTTGTATGCTATTCAAATGTATTCAATATGAGTAATAACCATCATATATGGTGCAGGGGTAAAGTTCGTTTTTGAGTTTTGAGCACAGGCTAGCCCGAAGTAGCCAAGTGCTGAAGCTGCATTGTATTTGGGATTGTGTTGCAGTGGGAGTTATTCATCCCTTCATGAAGTATTTGACTGACTCTAAATTGTCCTTTGCCAAATATTATGATTTGATCCTTTCGGTTTCCATTTGGGTTTGGTGGTCGGCTAAACGTCATCCAAACTGCTCTAAGTCGCTTATATCTATGACATTTGAATAATTTCTACTGCTAAGTGTTTAAGCCATCTTTTTGCTCCACGAGGTGGAGAACAGGGGCGCCGACTTCCTTCAGCAAGGGAATTGTGCTCTATAAAAACGCTAATTTCTGAGAATTACTCAAAGATCAGGTTTTATTGCACATAATTGAGTCGCTGAATATTACTGTCCATTCTAAACAAACGCCCATATTTTGGTCATTTGAGCCATTAAAGTGTCAACGGTTCTACAACACCACAAGGGTTCGTGCCCATCGACAAAAACTATTCTGTTTTTTTGAGTTTTGGTGATAATTTTATGGAGAGAACGAGGAGACCGAGTTTCTATCGTCGGCTGCGTCGCCTTCCAAGGGGGCGAGCTATTCCGGATGAATTTGCTGGCTACTTTGATTTGTACCCATTGGGATGTAAATTATTGGAATGTCGGGTTTTCAGCATTTGCTGAAAAGTGCGAGTTATTTGGGATTTTCACGAAAGTTTGGCATTTTTTTTCAAATTTCAGTAATTTAATAATTTTGCCCTTGTTACTATGCTCGAGGAACTGTTAGAATTAACACGAAAAGCATTAACTGTCAATTTTTTTCATTCATGCCAAAAACTGTACCTGTTGGATATCCTTTTGTCCCACCCCC